CCTGTCGTCTTTTCAGATTCATCACCAGGTAAATACACTCGGGCAGACCACAAACAGTAAACCCTGCAGCAGCTGAAGAAGAGGAGGAGGTGGAGGATCTCAGACTGTCTCCCCTTTCGCTGTAGAACAGAACATGAATAAAACATTGAACAAAAATCACTCTCAAACTGGGGGAATGTCCATTTTTCCCATGTTTAAGTTCATTTTGTAACTATCATACAGGGAGAACAAACACAGATCAATTTCTACATCTACAAGAGCATAAAGTAGACCACAATGCATTGCAGCAGGAAGATGTTTACAGGGTGTTGGGAGTCATTTCTGGGAAAAAGCAGGAAATTTAACTGCAGTGAAGAGAGACAAGGAAGGTTTAAGGGAAGGGTTAACGAAAAAGTACATTAAGATGAGATTGTTTTCAGTTAACAAAGTCATAAATTAACTTTAAAGTTTAAGATTCTGAGTATTTTCATTTTCTGCTGCTTTATACAACACCACATTTCAGAGGTAAATATTCTCCATTTTACTGCTCTGCACAGCTGAGGCTACTTTACTACTACACATGAAATAAACCATAGAATCAGCTCATAAAACAGTAATTCCCATCATTTGTTGGCTTGTCCTTACAGAAAGCGCCGCCTGGTTGTGCCTGGTTGTGTCTGCTTGTCACATTTCAGATGTCTGTGAGATGTTAACTCTTCACGTTTCATTCAAATAACTGTTTGAGGTACAAAGAGGCAAAATTATCTTATATAATTTTTTGACAATTAACAACTGAATACAGATCTGCATATCCGAACTTTCTTGATTCCTCTCATTCATCTTCCGACCCCTCAGATGTGATCAGGTGACCCTTCGGGGGGCCCTGAGCGCTAGGTTGGGAACCAGTGGACTGAACTAGCTAACTGTATGCAAAATAGTTCAAACCAGCTCCACCTCAAACAAACAAACAAAGTGCTATTCTATGCTATGTATATAATCTATTACACTGATGCATCAACATATGTTCAAATCTAATTTATTTGATTAATCAAATTTTTTTTGTGACATTTTGGATTATTAGATAATAATATTTGAAGTTTAGAGGTGAAAAAGACGTCTAAGCTGAATCATGCTTGTCAAAAACTGTTGTAAAGTTATCAAATAAATGAAACATTAGAGAGGTAATGACATTACGCTCATATACGCAGTGCTGGAAGTATCAGCAGATTAATCAAATGGTTCAATAAAACTGATCCGGCTGACAAATAAGTCAGGTTTCAGTTTCAGAGAGTGGATCAGCAGCATTTGTCAACATCATGTAAACATCAAGTGTCAACAATCACTAAAGATAGAAGATAAATGTTGTATGATCAACATCACTGAAAGTGGTGGAATGTAAATGTTTACTTCAAGATATTTGTACTTTACCTTCGAGTCTAATATCAGAGAGAAATATTCTACTTTTCTCTTCACTACATTTATCTGACAGCTTTAGTTACTTTACAAATAAGGATTTTTACACCCAAAGTATACAGAGATTAAAACATATGATGTTTTGTTATAGATTAAAGCACTAAACAGTTGAAACTATTAGTAATTAGTTAATTGGTGAACAGAAAAATGGCAGCTATTTTGTCATTTTCATGTAAAAACATTCCAGTTACACAAGATTTGCTGCTTTTCCTTTTAATTATTTTAATAATTTTAGTTTTTTTGTAGGTTGGACAAAAGAAGCATTGTGAAGGTGTCACAGAATGAATCCATAATGAAAATGATCGTTATAGTTTCAGTCCTACAAAATAACTCACAACCAGCTCAACCAACAGTAAAATCCTTCTTATTAACTTATTAATGCACGAGTCATAGTAATGTAATGATATCACTACCTATATAATATAGTAATTACTATATTACCATAATGTGTGTATGTATGTGTATATATATGTATATTATTTATTTATTATTTTTTGGTTATTTATTTAATACATGATACAATTATTGGCATTATAATATTAACACTATATAATATATATACCTTTTTCACTCTCCTTTTGCCTTTTAATTATGTTATTGCTCTCCTCCACACCCCCACAGACATCTTAATGCCTTATTGTTTATGTTGGAATTGTTTGTAATGTTTTGTTTTGCTGTATGTTGCTTATATGTGTATTCAGTTTAATGTCGCACAGAAATCACTTGTACCAATGTATCATGTTTATCACCAATAAAAATAAATAAATAAAAACTATATAATATATAATTGAAACATTTTTCTGCATTTAAAAGTACTTTCAAACTCTGAGTACATGTCCGTCTGCTCGTATGTCCGGTATCACTTTTACTTAAGGAGGATCTAAACACATCCTGCTCGTGCAGAGATGTTGATAGGATATTCAAATCAGCGGGGGGGGGAGAGAGAGAGAGAGCTGATTGGTCGCTGGCTCCAGCAGGAGCGCGAGCGCAGGTGCCAGAGTCGCTCATTGAGCAGAAACCGTCTCCGGTCACAGTCGCTGCTCAGGTG